CCCCAAAACCCCAAAACCCCAAAACCCCATCAGAGTAAATAAATATATATGCAGAGATAGGTCTAAGCTTAATAATTAAACAATAATTTAGTAAATCGATAAGATAATAAGTATGTCAAGTGCAGATTTGTAATCAGGAATGCTCCATATCCACCAACTCATCATGTCTAGTAGTAGTGCTAACAAGAATGAGCGTCAAAACGGTAAGTTCATAGCATTATCTCAAATAAGAATAAGGGACTAATAATATGATATAGCAACAAATTAGCTTGTAAACATGAAGTTAGATGAACCAACCACTACCATTTTGCTGGCTTACATTCAGAATCAACAATTTGAGATGAGTCCCAGGCTTATTGCTGCAACTTAACTTAAAAACAAAATAAAAGCTATCTATGGGGTAAGCTCATATATTAGCCATAGTAATATTGACATTTATTTAGTAACATACATATACACACTATGAGGAGTCCGGAAATGCGGGATTGGACGGAAGCGGTGCAGCAGATGATGTTTCAAACTTGATTGATGAGAACTCAGTCAACATATTGCAGTCATCCCTTGTCAGTCTCATGATGTCATCTGAGAAGTTGATAGCTGAATAGTTTCTTGAGGTAATTTCACTGATGGCTAAGAGATTCATCTACCAAGTTTGGCCTTCTCTTGTTCCAGTAAGTATAATCAAGTTTCTGATCTCAATAAATTTCTTTAATTAGGAGTTGATTAATCATTTGCAAACCACTCAAAGTCCTTTGATTATTAGGTATGCGCTTGAGACCTTCAAAAAGATTTGCAAAAAGTACAGATACATGTTTAGATCAGATGCCTTATACAAGGAGATCAACTATATGATTGAGAATTTATCAGGATAACTAATGATTCAAGCCTAGAATTGTATTAATATGATCCAACAAAACTCCTAGGATCTTGAGGCAGTCGAGACTCTATTTGTCATTTTGAATTCAATTCTGCATATAATTGAGAGTTTCCTTGCTTAAGAAGAACTACCAGACTTTTATGAGGAAAACTTGGAATAAATTGCTTCAATTCTATCATTTGTGATTGAGTGTGAGACTTGCCTTCCAAGAGTTCACAATCTACCAATTATAAAATGTAGAGCAAAGGTTGTGAGAGTTGTTCATGTCTATTAGTTCAAATTCATTGAATACTTCTAAAACTATAGTCAATATTTCTTTGAAAAGATATGGGGTATGGTTATTAACAAACAGGTATAATCCTCTAAAGCTAATGAGAAACTCATTCATGCCATTATCAGATATCTTAATGAGATGTCTTCACTTCCCAATATCCAGCAATTTTTCCAAGCAAATATGGTCCCACTTTTTGAGCTTATCATTTTGCCAAATATCTCTCTAACAGAGGATGATGTTGATGAATATGAAATGGAACCTGAGACTTATATCAGGAATGATCTTGAGGAGTCAGACACTGACACCAGAAGAAGATAATGCATGAGATTTGTTCAATCTTTGTCAAAGAAATTCCCAAATGATGTCAATAATCTGATAGGTAACTATGTGAATCAACTTCTAGGAGAGTATCAGCAAAATAGAAATAAAGAATGGATGAAAAAGATTACAGTTTTAAACCTTATAATTACTGCTTCAATAACCCAGTATACTTATAGATCAGGAGCTGAAAGTATTCTCATAACTTTTGAGGACTTAGAAAAATATCTATAATCTTTGGTTTTCCCAGAGCTTGAAGAGACTAAAATTGACAACATAAGCATTCTCAAAGCTACTTGTATCAAATTTATCTATATGTTCAGAAATTAGATCCCAGATCACCTTGTTCCCATGTTCGTAAACAAAATTTCTGACTTCTTAAAAAGCGATAGCTAAGTCAATTAATCATATGCTGCTGCTTGTATCGAGAAATTACTGATTAAGAAGTGCTCTAACGGCTAAGGCATGATTTTCACTCCATAAAATATTGATCAAAATATGGTTAGCAAGCTCTTATAAAATCTATGTGAATTGCTCTAGAATAACAAGAATCTCTATGCTATCAGATCTCTCTTCAGACTGATTCAACTAACTCAAAATAATATTGTACCTTTCGCAGAAGTGCTCGGACAAGTCTTGGCTAACTTTATTATGCTAGCAGCCTAAGATGAGGCTCAGACTAGTCCTAACTATCTCTATATTTTGTTTGAGACAGCTTCTCTCACATTGAAATACGTGAAAGACAATTTAGAGGTATTTGCAAAAGTTGAGGATTCTCTTAGTCAGTCTTTGAACTTTGTAATTGAAAGAAATATCACTGACATGATCTCTTATGCTTTCCAAATTTACTCATTGTTTATTGCAAACTCACCTACCCTCAAGGATGCCTATGTAATGCTTACCCAATCAATTTTGACAAACTCAGGAAACTGGGGCAAAGATATGAAATACTTAATTCCATCACTGGCTTAATTCCTCATCGCAGTTATCTTCAAGTATCCAGATTTATGTTCTTAGTACATCTCAAATATTCAGTAGATAATAATCAACCTTATCGATGTGAATATCAGAATGGAATAAACAAGTCTCTAAATAGCCTCTGCAGTCTTTGAAAAATTAGGAGTACCTAACCCAGACTTCTTGAAGCAAGTACTGTTCAACATTTTCCAAACTATGCACTTCTACAAAAATAATACCAAGGCTAAACTTCTGCCAGTACCAATCATCAAAAGTGTCTGGTCATTTTTCGCAAACTTTATGATTTACAATGGCACTCAGTCATTAGTAGATAGTACTAATCAAATATAGCCAGGTATCATAATGATGATAATGAAATCAGAGGGCGAGAAGATCAGATTTGTAAACAGCCCAGCAAGAGATAAGAAGTATGCAATAGTAGCTTACTCTTAATTCATCGCTGATACTCTAGATATAATTACTCCAGAGGTATTAAGCATTCTTACAAAGAGTCTTATTGATTTGTGCTTTAATCAAAGTAATTCTGGCTTCTAAGTTGCAAGTACAGTGGGAACTGATACTGAAGATTTACTCTAGGATGGAGCGATTGACCAGACATTCGCTTTCCAAAGGTCAACATACATTCAGTTAAATGCAGCTAAGATTGACCAGTCTGATAAATTAAGTTAGTAAGTTCCAGTTCCAGAGCAAATGATGCTAGGGGTACTTTTACAAGTACAGAATGCCAAAAATGTAGCCATCTCCAGTTTAATTGATGATGACAAACATAGAAAGTAATTACATCAACTCAGCTCCTTTTACAATGTTCAAATTAACTGATTAATTAATATATTATCAATCTAGTTTATTGTTTAATTATCACTTTTATACTTATTATTTACATGCTACGGGGTTTTGGGGTTTTGGGGTTTTGGGG